TCTCAAGTTTTTCACCCCTCTTCTGCACTTTTAATCACTTATGGGACATGGCAATGATTTATTATGCTTCGCAACAGAAGCTCTCTTCTCATTGACAAAACAGGGAAATACAAGGAAGTAAAAATTCCAAGAGGGAGGTAACATAGGTTTTTCATACTTAGTTTAGGTCTCACTACCTCCTCGCAGGGTGATGTTGTGCATATAAAACAAAATACCACAAAGTACACAAACCTTACAAGATTAAAATAAACTTAAATAAAAAAAAATCACAGTCCGATGTCCCAGGGAAAACAGCATAAGATGATTTAAGTCAACACCCAACATTATTTTTATCACAATCTCTTTCAATCAAATTGCTAACAAAACTAGCAAAGGGATGAGTTAACTTGCTGACCTTAAGTACAAATACTGCAGTATTGCAGTATTTAACACATTATTTTAACAGGTTTCTCATATGCAGTTATTTATTTATTATTTTTTTCAAATGTAAAAGCAGAGGGAGAGAGATATTGCCCTCTAGGGAAGATCTGATAACCTCTGTGCACCTGCTTCACCTGACATTTGAAGAGCACTGTCTGTGTGGTGCTAGAAGGCCAGCAGAAAGCCATCTGTTGATACAACAGCGGTACTCTCTACATATAAACAAGCCAATGTCTGCATGTCCAGTGCAGAGCAGGCAGGTGTCAATTGGTTCTTTAACAGCAAACATATTCTGTATGATGCTGTGAGGTTGTGTAAAATGTCATTTGGTTCTAAATTCATCTCTGAGCTCTCTTCAATCTCTCCACTTCAACGTTCTCCTCCTGTGAGGCACATCTCTAATGACATGGTCCATGAAACATAAGTGCATTGCATGCTGTTAATGAAGAGGCTCACAATCAGCTATTCTGGTGGAAAAATGAAGACTAACACTGTGCAATCATCGAACACTTGTGAGGCAATGCACAACAGTATGTTACATTGACAGCTTGGGTATTCAGAAAAAAATGTTAATGTTTGGGAACCTCAGTTACTCTCACTTTACATGAGTTATGCAAAAAATTCCAGTATCCACTCACCAGCTGCTTTATCTGTTCAATAGTTCAAGATAAACAGCTCATCATCCAATCACCTGGCAGGAACTCAATATATTTAGACATGTAAACATGATGAACATAGCCTGTTGAAAATCAAAGCACCTCATGAGTGGACTATTTTCATAGGTGGCCTGATTGATGGGATGGGGGAGTGGTCAGATGTGATTTGCCTAAGTCAATGCTCATAGGAGAATGGGGAGAATCCTAAGCAGGGTTGGGAGGAACAATGTTACAAAGTAACAGTATTAGTAAAAGTGTCAGTTTTTTTTATTTAAAAGTAATAAAGCTAGTTATTTTTCTTACATTTGCAATGCCATTATGTTACCTGGAATTCAGCGGTGCCTGTTACAACTAATCAATCTATCAAAACAACTTTTGAGAGGAACACTCCCTCTGCAGCGGGGAGAGACTTTTACTGCATGGAGGAGCAGCAGCATTAAAAATAGAGTTCCTTAAATAAAACAGTGTTTGAAGCTAAACGTTTTTGTTACTTGCTCATTATGTTTATGAGCAAAAGCGTAATCTATGTCAATTAGAAGTAGCTCTAGTCTAAAGAACGTCCTTACGTCACATCACCACCAGAAACATAGGCTAATAGCTGCCTTAGTTTATCTGGACATGTTGCTCTGTATGTAACACACTGAACTCACTCACATTAGTTTATAGCGTTTTCAGATATGTTGTTCTGTAAATGAACCCATTTATCACTTTTCCAGTTTTCATTTAACTTATAAGTAAATATCAATAATTTTGTATTTCATACTTAAACTTTCAGCTTTGATAACAGGAAAGCTTTTCAAAGTTACTTAGCCAGTTAGACTTTAGAAGAAATAACTAGTAACTATTACTAGTTACCTTTTTAAGGAACATTTCAAATACTGTTGGTTAGAGAGAATAAAAAGGCAAGAAATGTATCACTAATTACTAAAATATATATATATATATATACAGAACACATCTTTGAATGAACAATTTCTTAAAACTAATCAGATCGGTTACAGCAGCCAGACATCCCAGTAGGAGTCACTTGTTTCAGCTAAGAAAAGAAAGCTGAGGCTAAAATCCATGGAGGCTCATCAAAACAGAAAAATAACAAATTGTAAAAACTTAACTCAATGAGTCTTCATCTACAGCATACACCTTATGCGATTGGAATTTGGACTACACAACAAAAATAAACATGGATTCACCCTGCCTTGCACCAGTCATGGTTTCAGCAGCTGATGTCATAATTGTGTTTTTTTAATTTTTTTTTTTTTTTTTCTTGGCACTCAAGCCTCTAAGTAGCCACTGAACATAATTAACTGTGATCCCCTTAGAAAACTGTAGTATTGGTTGCTGACCAAATTGTACACAAACTCTGATGATCTCTTCGCTTGCTAAAACGCACCATGTCACAAAGCTCATATCATCTCCAACCCTGTTTGTTGAACATAGGATGGGATATAGGAGAATGAGAGATTGGCATCAATTCTCAACTTGAAATATGCAATAGCTATGTGATGCTATCAATTAAATATGTTATTAAATATTTTCTTTTTTTCTGTTCATGTTATTAAACAATATAGAAAAATATCATGTCATAGCCCTACCATATGCTTGACAACAAGAAGACCAAACAAAATAACTTAAAGTTTTATGACTTTATACTTTTTATGGTGTTTTTCACATTATATTGCCTCTTCTCATAAAGACTTGATTTAGTTACAAATTGCATTTGTTTTTTTGTTTTTGTTTTGTTTTTTTGCAAATTAATATATTTAGCATATACAGTGTTATTAGGCGATACACTATATTTATGTACAATTACCCTTAAAATATTGTTGTTTTTGCATAGAAAACTACTAACATATTGCACTTTACAAAGAAAGTTTTAGGTAACTGAAACCATTTTATATTTACTGACTTACAGTGAGGCCTTGTTGCATGTAGTCTGCAGGTTCCCTTGTGCACTGTTTTCTTATGTCATCCAAAGGTATGTGTTAGGTTACTCCGAACTGCCATGCTCATTTTGCTCTTTTGCCATTCCTCACTAAAGTAGTTGTGGTAGTTTCTTTCATGCAAGGGGGACCTTGACATGTGTGAAGCATTGTCAAAAAGATCAGTAATGTGGATCCCACATACGTTGTTTTGGTGTGGGGAGTTGAGGGAGCGGTGGCCCTACTTTATAGTGTTTTGACTTGTATACAGCTTTTAAAATCTATGCCTATTTGTGTTTTACTTCCAAACAGATGGTAAATTAAAAGATATCTGAGACTTCACTTGTAAAAATCATATATTTAGTCTTAGGTAAAGAGTATTTTGCATGATTGGGAGTAATTTGACTACAAAACCATGTGTTTATGTGCAATATGTGGCATTATGCTTTAGTAAAAAAAAAAAAACTGAATCAAAATACTTTTAAAGCTTAAGGGTTTTTATTGCACTTTATTTCTGTAATAGTAAAAATAATTCCCACCCACAACAAAAAATTTACTGATTTACCAGGGCTTAACTATATGAAATCCTATTTCATACAACATGTATGAAATAGGATTGAACTAGAAATAGAATGGAAATGTATGGATACACATTTGATCATTTAAAACATAAAAAGATCTGTATGTGTTTATGAAACGTCTTTTTTTTTCCCCTCTGTTGTCCATTGATGGAGTTTCAGACCAAGTCAAGGTATTCCCTACTTTTTACATACTGACTGCTGTAAACAGGTAACCGGCCCTTCAAGACTCTCCTGATTAATATGAGGGCAGAGGATGGATGCATGTATAAAAAAAGTAAGGCACCATAACAAGCTCCAATCCAATGGCCCATGTCATCTTAAATCTGGACCTGTGTGCTGGTATTGCAGCCCCTGTGGCCTGTAGTCTGCTGGTATGTACAGTTCATATCGATGTGGTGCAGTAACCTATTCTGGATCAATATATAATGCTGTTTTACAATTAATGGCACAGCTCCTTTATTAAACCCGAGAACCTGGTTAGGACTGGAGCAAATGAAACCAAATCCTGTGGAGGAAAGTAAAAAAAAAAAAAGGGTGCTGAACAAACTGAGTCTTTTTTTCCCTATTATTATCATTGTTAGAGCCTTTAAGACTGGGTATCACGAGTGTGACACGGGATGGCCTGTGGGAAAGTAATTGCGCGCACGCCTGTGGATAACTGGTAAATACTGATTAGAATTGAGAATGAGATTAGTCAGAGTAGATACAGTCAAATAATAGCCCATTTCATTGTCACAGAAGACACATGCGCTCGGTTTATGCTCGGATTTCAGGAGTCTGCTGATAGCAGGTGCAGAACACGACGGGGTTTGTTGAATGTAAAATCAATTTGATAAAGCAAGTCCTGCACGACCGGCGCTCTCACATCAAAACAGCTTTGGTGTGAGACAGGACAGCAGGATCCGTGCAAAGCGCTTGCAAACAGGACAATAAATGATTATGCAGAGGCACGCTTTATAAAGTTGACTGGCTTCCAAAATGCGCCGCGCATTTGCATTCCGATCCATATCAATCAGCGCACCCATACACTTCAACTAAAAAGAAAGAAAAAAGGGGGTGTTCTTTCATTTAAACAAACAGGCAGGTAAGCGTTGGCTATATTTTAATGGATAGATTCTTGGTTGCAGCATTGCTTTAATCTAAAACGAGTAGTATGATACAGCGAAGGATTGGGAGAATTTGGATCAGAAAGAAAAAAAAAATCACATTGCAGCTCTGCGACTAACTGCAGCCACATTCCAGATGCACCAATAAAATACAAATAAAAATAAAAATACATGATGATGCAGCTTATAGTGACAGTTTTTACGCAATCTGTTTTTAATAGCTTCTACAAGGGGGAAAAAAGACACAATTTGATTCAGATTATCTGCAATTGAGGCAACAATCAACCCTCAGCAAACAGATTAAAGACACAAACTTACCCATATCCGCTTTTCTGTTTTCGCTCCAGCGTACAGGTTTTAATGGCTCGATGTGCGCGACATCCGAGTCCGCATGATGCGCTCTCCACAGCACACACAGGTACCGTCCAAATCCACCGCTCCGCTCTCCGCGCAGCCGCCGACTCCAAAGCGCACCTGCCTTTTTTCACTCTCCTGGACCTGCGATGCCTTCCCCGGTTTAGTTGTGCGCCTACACCCGTCCCAACGAACCGGAGCGAATGTCATTTACTTACTCCAAAATTAAAGGCATGCAAAATCCAGCTTAGAACTCTCTATCCATGTCTCAGAAGCAAAGCGAAGAATCAGCCTCTTCTTCCCTTTTTTTAAGTAACAGCCGAAAAGAGCACTGCAGCTGGCGCAGACGTTAAATATGACACATCCAAGAAGTCATGGCAGTCTTAAATGTGCACAGAGATCCCGCGAAAATCCTTCCTTGAACTTAACTCGGCGTGATGTCAAAATGCAGGCCGTTATTTCCCATGAAAATTTGCTGGTAAAAGACCGTGTCCGTCTGCGTTCTGCGCGGCACATCGAAAGAAAGTAAGTAGCTGTTTCATTCCCAAGTGAGTGTGAAGCGTTGTCAACGAGTCTCTTGAGAAAGTCATCCAAACATCGCCCTTGGTTTTCTTTTCTGTTTTCTCTTTTTGCTTAGCCGATCATCTCGCTCTCGCTGCTGCTGGGTTTGAAATGCAGCATGACGCCGCCGTTAATCACGTCTGCATGTCAAAGCAACTTTGTCAGGCAGAAGCGGAATGCCCTCTTCTGGTGAGACCGAGATCAGGGGATGAGTCCGAGGGGTTAATCACCAGCAAAACAAGAGGGGGTTACAGACAACACTCAGATAAACACCAAAAAAAAATACAATTTCTCAAGGAATATGGTAACAACTCCATAACATTGTGATATTTGAAAGTAGCAGTGATTCGGTATAGGGCAGCATTTAACTCTGCGCCCCTGATGCAGCTTTTCTTTTTTCCCACTCCTTGTGCCAACTCTCTGTGAGAGTTATACCCTGGACATAAACCTATACTGTGCGTAATTTTAGTTTTTATGTTATTTATTTACACAAGAAGTTATCCCATGTAACTTTACACCATGCACAGTTTCCGTTCATACCAGACTGTATGTTTGAACAATGTATTTACAATTCTTTATTGCTTTGATTTTGAGGTTTTGAACTATTCTTCGAGGCAAGGTAACGTTTGACATGAAGTAACCATTGTAATCCTGTTTAGTTTTAGCTTGGAAATTAAGCACCAAACCTCATACAACTGAATAAAAAGCAGCTGAAGACTAAATAGCGCTGTCCATGGTGCTGAAATCTGGGTGAGTAAGCTAAAAAAGACAAATCAAAGGAGCAAGAACTGTGTAAAAAGTGCTTAAATAAACTATCATGTTTGTGCAGAAGAATTTCCCTTGGGAAAGTGAACAAACTATCATAAATTCAATGGGAGTTATTAACCTCTGTTTTTATGCCCACTTGTCTCCAGCCCTTTGCCTTAGGTTTCCTGTAAGTTTTATGTCTGAGAACTGAAATGGGTATAGAAAAACATTATTTATCCATCTAAGGCAGTTCTTTGTGACTTTCACAACACATTTAGGGTCATTATTCTATTAAAAGCCACAATTTCTACCAAATTTAAGGCAGGATCTTATTTTATTCAAAATCTCTCATCATCTCTTGAAGACCATGATGTAATTTATTCTGAAAAGGTTTTAAGGACTTTTAAAAAAGAATAACAACTACAACATTATGAATCCTCCAATATACAAGGTGTGATTGAAATTCTCTTTCACATTTTTATTGTTTGCTTTAAAGTGGGCCAACCAGGAGTGCCTACTGCTGGGGGAGCTTAGTCAGAGTATCACCTTATCAAAGAGTTTGGTACCAGTTAATATCCTAATAGAGTTTAGCAAACTCCTCACATTTATAATTGGAATTCATGAAAAGAAAATTTAATTTCAAGCATACCTCTCAAATAATAGTGATAACTTTAGACACACATACAAACTTGTTTCACTATCTTTTCGGGGCCTTTCCATTTACTTGCATTGATGTCTGCAACCTAACCGGGACTCTTATCCTAACCCCAATGTAAAAGTTCACACTTTTGTCCTAAACGTGACCCCTTACCCAAAAACAGCAACTTCCCAATTCCAGGCATCAGGCCCCTCAAGGAGCTGTTGGTCCCCACAAACACAAGTTAATCAGAAAGGGCTCCACATTGTATGCAAAAAAAACACACACACATATGCATACATATACATATATGCTGCGAGATAAAATCGAGTGCTTGTTCAGCTTTGTTTCGCTAAGATCAGGTTTGAATTAATTTGAGTTTAATTGCTATCTACTTTCTATCAGTACTTTCATGGCTAATTAAAAGCAACGTGTTTTTGTTTTTTCTGTTTATTTGTCTTTGTCATATAATGTTTGTAATCAACTCAATTCATTTAATTTTCAATTCAAAACACATGCCATATTAAGCGATTTTACAGAGACATTCAAGTGGATTATAGTTAAAAATATTCTGTCTAAGAAGAACCAGCTGAAGGCATCGAATAATTGATTATCTAGGAATCGCTTCTCCTGGATGACCATGGGATAACAGTAGACCTACCTCAGGTAAACATTAATTTAGGGATTACTTATTCATCACTCATGATATCTTGCCCTCTTTAAAAGGTTTCATTTAATTTGAATGAAATGCCAGTTATCCATAATTAGATTAACATAAAAGATAGCTAAACTGATCCACGCCTTATCTTTTTATGACTTTTTTTCTTAACATGGGATATTTCTAAAAAGTTAAAAGGCAGATACTTCTACAATCAAGGTTAATTATTATGGATTCTTAATAACAATGAGAACTGAACTCTACTTCTGCACTACTTAATATGCTGCAGAAACTTGCATTAGGAATGAAAAACCTCCTACTAAGTCAGCTGTGTGGTTTTTTAAGGATAAGATAGGAGGCCAAATTCATAATGTGCATTGCTTCTTTTCTGGCTTACTACAGTAATTCATGTATTTACCTGTTTTTAGATGGGTAACAAACTGAGAATTAATAATATCATCTAGATAGAAATACAGCAATACAAAATGGAAATAAGAGTCTCAGTTAAAAGGATGCATGGTTTAATTAAACTCAGTGGACAGAAATGCTAAGCTGGACACATTGATATTATTTTTATTATGATATACAAATAAACAGCTAGTGGGCTTAAAAAATGCCCTGCTTTTTGATACATGGTTATTAATAGCTGTGTTAAGAGAATAATATTTGGTTGCAGGCATAAATGACAAAAATAAACAAAACCCAATATCACAGTATGCAGCAAAATACTGTAGCTCATTAGTGCAGTTTGCGTGACTTTCCTTCAGTTTCCCTCTCTTGTAAAAAGATGTAACTGCATTTTAACTTTATTTTAAGTAATTACTTCAAAGCTTTGACATAATATTCCTTTTTGCTGTATTTCAAATTCAACGTTGCCCCGTGCTTGCTCAGGATAAAGGATTGCTTCAAAGTTATTATCTTTTGTATGCATTCTGCTTGCCATTATTTTTCTAACTGATTTTTTGTCACCAAATGTTGTTATATTATGTAATTCCTTAAAGAGAACGCCACTTTTATTAGCCTTCCAAACACAAATATATGCTACAGGTCCTCTAATAAGCACAATGGTTTTTAAATTGATAGCATATGTAGAATTCTAAGCTCATTTTTGAAATAAGAGCATCTGTTTCTCTTGTGTTTTTCTACATTTTATTCAACTTCAAAAACTGCAAGAAAATACATGTGTATGTTGGTGTATTTTCACACATCAACGGTTGAATTAGTGATCAATCAGATGCCTTAAATAAACAGAAAAATAAATTTTCCTGATGACTGTCCTCATCTGATCACAAAAGAGACGCAGATCTCTAATCATTTCACCTATTTAATTTAATCTGTTTCTATTTTTTAGATAGATAAGGCTCTATGTCACATATTTTCAATGTAACTATAAACAGGACAATATTTGGACTGAAGTGAATTTCAAACAATAAGATGAAATTTGTAGAGGAATCAAACTGAACTAAGTACTAGAATGGCTAGGTTATTTTCCATGGCCATAATGTAAAGGCCTATCAACACTATAAAAATAATGTGTAAATAGAACTGAAAGCATAGAGCATAGCTGTATTCATTCTTCATTCATTCATTCATTAAGTATTATTATTAGAACTGCATCACACTGCTTACTTTATGACATGAAAAAAGTACATTTGTGTCTGTGATTATAAGCTATAATAATATGACAAAGTTTAGATAGCATGGTATGAGTAATGCATCTAATTAACCTATTGTTTCTGTTCTGTTCAGAGGGTAATTCCCCTCTTATTCCTTAAAGATTAATTTACACTTTTTCCTATTGTCTTTTTTTAGATGTACATGAAACAACATATTTTCTCTAAGGGGATAGTTAGGTTTTAATTCAGATTTGGTCTTTTCCACGGACCCTTTTGAAGCCAACCCACATAAACTTAAAATATAAGCATTAGCTCATTTATTTCTCTGACCTTTCAGGGTGAACAGAAGCAAAAAAAAAAAAAAAAACTGTACAAACTTTGAGTAGATTCTATATAAAAATTTGTGACATATTTTTAAGACGACCTCTACCTTCTCTTTTCATTTTCATTTGGCATAATTGAAACTTTAAATCTCAGCTGCTAAGCAGGAGCACAAATCACTGTTAAAATAAGAGTCTTTCACATGAGTGAAAGAATGCTGTGCCTTTGGCAACTGACTTTTGTTTTCTTACAGTAAGCCTTTCTTGATAATTAGCTGTTAGCCACGTTTTTTAGCAGCATTGATCATACTCTTCATTTAACTTTTAGTTACCGCTTACCATGTTAACAAAGGACAACTTTAAAGCTCCAGATATTCTCATAGACGAGTTTTAGGATTAAATGTAGTGTCACTGCACCTCAGCTTCTGTTTCAGCTGCATGCAATTTGGCTGATGACTTTACTTCTGGATTGAGTTCAACAAGCAAAGTCCATTCTGCTGACAGCGGTGAAACAATTAATACTGTGTGAAGTTATGGAAATACACACTATT